GTTGTAACATGATCGTGCACTAAGCTGATCTCCTCTGATGTAGCCGTTGCCATGGGGGGTTGGAAATTTCATCAACAGCATATGCGTGGATACCATAGCCTTGAGATCATTGATGCCTGTGCGCCCAAAGATGACATTGTATGCCGTTGGGCAGTCAACCACTAGGAAGTTAGTGGTAATGGTAGCCGTGTGTAAGGGCCTGTACCAATAGTAAAGGGTAAATGTATGCTCCCTAAGGGTTGCACGATATCACCGGAGAAGCTTATCAGAGGAGAAATCGAGCGATCGAGCAAGTGTTCAGCTACACTGAGTGCCCTGAAAGCTTCGGCAAACATGATATTGACCGAAGCCCCTGTGTCTACGAGGATTCGTCGAACATCAAAGTTGGCTATGTGAGCCTCCACGATCAATGGGTCGTTATGAGGGTAGATGATGCCTCTTTCTTCCTCAGGGTAGAAACATATCGGATCCCAGTTAGGCTTTTGATACTTCCCTCCCCTGATGTCTTCCACGTGAAACACTTGGTGACCAGGCCTCAGAATTCGTTCACTGTTTTTCATGGCCCTATTGGAAGATTCAGATATGGGTGTGCCGCCGCTTATGGAATATATGACATTCACCTGGCGTTGGGTTACGGTTATCCCTTTGAGGGTGAAGGAGGAATTGATCAATTTTTCCTTCTCGTGCCAAAGCTTCAATACGATCACGGAGGATGATACATTTCTCGCTATCATGGCCGTTATGCTCATGGTAGCAACAAAACATGCCCGCGTTATTCGGGGGCGTGTAATCTGGGTGCCTCGGCTTTGGCTTTGGTATCAGGTGAGCTATGCTGGGGTAAATGGCCGCGCATGTGGCATTCAAGGGCGTGTATGTCTCATACCTTGGGGTAGGGGGTATCTTGACGCGGGTTTGACCCACTGCATTGACTGCCTGGGGGCGAGCGTTATTGTGGCGATACCCTTGGTTATCGGGATAGTGTCCCTTACTCTTTTTACTGAAAGGAGAGTGGTGAGGATGGAAATCCTTCCTCTTGCCTTGAAATTGATATGTCTGTTGATTCGGTGAAGCATTATGCAAGGCATGGGGAGGTGCCACTGCTGTTTGGAAAAGTCGAGGTCTTCTCATTTAGGTGAGTCTGGCTTCCACCTCCCACTTGTTGATAAAGGATGGTTGTAGGGGGTTTCTCCTGATATGTCTTTGCCTCGGCGGAGGCATGGTTATAAGCCTGCGCCATCACCTCAGAGTAAGTCTTCCAAGTATTGGCATTGATCATGTATTTAAAGAAACAATCACGTAGGCCTGCCGTGAAGGCTTTGAGGGCAGTCTTGTCGTCTGCCTCGGCACACCGGGAGTATTCATGGCTGAAGCGGCCAGCATACATACGTAATGACTCGTCTGGCTTCTGGCGGATAGTGTACAAGTCATCTGCAGAGTGCAAGCGATCGGTTTGGAAAATGTGTTGGGAAACAAATAGTTTCCTCAATTCCTCAAATGAGTCTACCGTCTCAGGTGTAAGACGACAATACCAATTTAGAGCTCCACTAGAGAGGGTGGAGGGGAAGAGAAGACATCGCTTCGTCGGTGTGCATCCGGTATGCCATGGTGGACTCAAAGAGGTTAAGGTGCTCAATCGGGTCCTCTTTTCCAGTATAAAGTTGCAAGCCAAGCTTTTGCTTTGTCTTTGCTTGAAGGGGGGTGTTGAGGATCTTCCTTGTAAGAGGGACAGGCCTGGGTTGGTTCCAGTCAGGTATTTCAGCCTGACGTTCAGCCTTCAACTTGTTTACTTCCTCAAGAAGTTGTAGGACAAGGGGGTCCTGAGCGGAGTTATGTGTCACTGGAGCTTTCTTTCGTAAATCTCCATCTCCTATTGGAATTAGGAAGGTTTGATCAAGGGCATGTGATTTTTCCCTGGACTCGCTGTACTGGCTTCCAGGGTATGTCTGTCGGAACACCTCTGAGTCCCCTGTACCCTCATGTCTCTCTAGGACTTGTTGCCCCTTCCCCAAATTGGTGGCCGGCTTGGGCCGTGGCCGGGGACCGAGTCTCTCAGAAATCCTTGGGTCATTAATCTTTGAGCTTATATGGATGGAATTCTCTCGACGTTGCTTTCAGGAAATCCCGACAATCGCGAAAGACGGCTTTCGATCCTTCTGCCCCTTCAGCAAAGAGGTGTCTCCCTCCACTTCTCATGGTTCGGGTCGAAGCAACTGGGTTAAGAGAAGCCTCATGTTGATTATCAAGTCGAGGGGTAATCTGTTCCCTATCAGGGATATCTATGTCGAATGCATGTGACCCTCCATGTTGGAGGGCACCCAGTTGATGGTTGACTTCCACGGGGGCAACAAGCTCGCGTGTCTGAGCTTGCCTAGCTTCGTGGAGTGTCTCGAAGAGCTTCTCATATTGCTCCTGGAGGACCTCATTCCTCATTGCTATCTTGTTGTTCTGAGCTTCCAACTCATCGACTTTAGCTTGAAGAAGAACTCGTTTTCCTTCCTTCTTTCGTTGTTTCGCACTATGTGCAAGGGGGGTGTCATTCTGTGTGCTGTGGCTTCCTTCGCTTCCCATGTTGGAGAGGGATGCCTGGTCAAAAGAAAGTGTACGAATGATAGAAACCAGCTTGACACAGCCGAAGAGAGTAGGAATAAGTGTCGTTTCCCACAGACGGCGCCAAATGTTGATGCACAAAATCAGCGAAGACTTTGGTACAACAGAAAGTGTCAGGTTTTGTGACCTTCGCTTGGTTGCTTCGGTCACTAGTGAGGATAAGTACGTAAATAAATAGAGACAGAGAAGCAAACACAGGATGTACGTGGTTCACCCAGATTGGCTACGTCCACGGAGTAGAGGAATTCTTATTAGTAGTGAAGGGCTTACATAAGTACAAAGGATCAAGCTCTCAATTTAGTGAGTTCTTGTGAATGATTTAACACAAATGGCATTAGGCAATATTGTGGGGGAATGACCCCTATTTATAGAAAAACTTGTAGCTTTGTCACATTGACATGTGTCATGTTATGATTGGTTCTTGATGTCGACACGTGCTGCGCTCTGATTGGCTTCTAATCTTGACACGTGTCGAGTAGTGATTGGTCTCCTGGTCGGAGGGGAACTCTTCTGGGTCCTTGACAGTATAGCGTTGGCCGTTGCTCGGTAGTTTCGGGATTGGTCAAGTATGGTACAAACATTACGTATTGTATTTAGTAATTTCGTTGAGTGAGGGTCCGGAATCGTATCCACTTGGATTTCGTTGAGAGATGGTCCGGAATCCCTCATATTTCGCGATTCCGTTGAGTGAATGTCCAAGATCTTACTCACCTTGAGATTTATTGAATTTGAATTGAGATGGCTTCAAAGGGGTAAGCTTTGGTCAAACTGTGTCGCTCTAACTCTACTTTTCATTGTGTTGTATGAGAAGATGGTTGTGAGATGTTGTGATTGGTTTCAGATGAACTGTTGGGTGTTTGGGTGATTCCTTCAGGGTTTGCAAAAGTTGGTATTGATTTCTTATGAATGATTTATATTCAAGATATGTAAACTGTGTTTGATGGTTGGCATTAGCATTATTCTCACATACTTGATATTTTTGTCACTCGCATAAACTTCTCAACTTATCCAAGTTGTTTGCCTGGTGCACCATTCCGATGGTGTAGGCACTGATCGTACAGGTGACAGGTTTGAGTAGACTCCGAGAAGTTTGTAGGTGGGGGTAGCAGTGCAGTTATCAGAGACTTGGAGCGTTAGGTTACCCTTGTTTCACTCTTGTACTTTATCTTTTGGGACTTTCTTTTAAGCACCTCATACTTGTTCTTAGTAAAACAAAGATTATGCTTCTTTTTGGGATGTACATATTTGTAAATATTTTGTGGAGAACTTAGCCACCTTCACATTATTTTGGGTTATCAGTTAAAGTATTTCATTATGTAACTTATACCGTATTCAACGAACATTATTTTCCTTGTCACATGTCGATTTTCGACGTATGTTGGGATCGGGACGTGACAGGTGGGGTGGGGCGGGGGAGGAGAGGAATAGAAGGCAAATTTTGAGACTTACTCTAAGGGTTGGATTAGAGGATTTACAACCAAGTTGAATCTACAAAGTAAATACTAATCTTGTGTCGTAAATTTGATAATTTTTCTGTAAGGTCTTAATTTAGGGAAATTGCAATTTTTTTTTTTAATCTTTCTAACAAGACAATATCTTAAATTACTCTAATTCATGATGCAGAAACTTCTATAGTAGAAGGTCACTTGTGCATCTAAAGTAAGAGCATCTCAAGTGGTGCTCTATATCTAGTTCCTACAACCGTATAGCTCTCATATATGATGTCCAAGGTGTACCAATGGATCTAAAAACAATACCTATAATTTAGAGCCTCACCGAAGTATGTATAAAAATCCTCACGATCAAGGACTTCTTGGAGACTGAATTGTTGTGCAAAGAGTGGAGCCCATTGTGAGTATAAAAATTCTCAGACGTAGTTTCTAATATGTACTCGCCCGACAACTGCTGACACAGCTATAGGCGTGGGTCCCGCAACATGCTTCTTCACTAAATTTTTTGTGAACTATTGCAATCGACGGTGCATACTGATTATGAATTTTTTTGCTTTTTTATTGTTGGAGATCAACGATTTCAATTATATAAACCTTGAATTTCGGATTTATTGTGTAAAGACTCTCATTAGAGACAATATATTCCTTTGAGGAACAAAAATTTGCAGCAAATTACACATTATTTTTGTCTCACGTGTTCTCTTCGTGTTGAAAAATTTAAAAACACAAGGAAAACAAAAACTCACCGCTCAAAATACCGATTCCCGGTTTTCCAGTACAGACAGGAGAGAGAGAGAGAGAGAGAGACAGTGACACACCCACTCTCACTCACTCACAGTAAATATCGCTCTCTCTCTCTCTGTCTCTCTGTCTTCTGTGCCCACATAGGTTTGCAGCTGTCTCCAGCCCCATTCCCACTCCATTTCTCACTCCCAACTTTATATACCCCCTCTCCTCCCTTCCCCTCTCTCCAATTCTCCATCCCCCGCACCCCAACAATGCCGCTCACCAATTTCTCCTCCCTCCTCCTCCTCCTCCTCACCACCACCACCGTCTTCGCCAATGCCGCCCCCACTCCCTCCGTCCAAACCCTGAACACTCACGAGCTCTTCAACCCCAAGCTCCCTCCACGCACCCTCTCCTCCAATAAGAAATTCGAGGGCTCCTCCAACCTCGTCGACCTCCGCTACCACATGGGCCCCGTCCTCTCCTCCTCCCCCATCAACATCTACCTCATCTGGTACGGCAAGTGGGCCGCGCCCCAGAAGCTCCTCATCACCGACTTCATCCACTCCATTTCCGCCGCTCCCTCCGCCTCCCCCTCCGTCGCCGAGTGGTGGCGAACTGTCTCCCTCTACACCGACCAGACCGGCGCCAATGTCTCACGCGCCGTCGTCGTCGCCGGACAGTACTCCGACATGAAGTACTCCCACGGGAATCACCTCACCCGCCTCTCAGTCCAGCAGGTCATCGCCTCCGCCGTCCGATCCGCCCCCTTCCCCGTCGATCACAAGCAAGGCGTCTACCTAATCCTCACTTCCGAGGACGTCACTGTTCAGGACTTTTGTCGAGCCGTTTGTGGGTTCCATTACTTCACCTTCCCCTCCATGGTGGGCTACACTCTGCCATACGCCTGGATCGGAAACTCCGGCAAGCAGTGCCCGGAGGTCTGCGCCTACCCGTTCGCAGTCCCGGGGTACATGGGCGGCGGCGGGCCCGGGGCGCTGTCGCCGCCCAACAGGGACATTGGCGTGGACGGGATGATCAGTGTGATTGGGCACGAGCTCGCTGAGCTCTCGTCCAACCCGCTGGTGAATGCGTGGTACGCCGGGGAGGACCCAACGGCGCCAACGGAGATTGGGGACTTGTGCGAAGGGTTGTATGGGACCGGTGGCGGCGGCGGGTACATTGGGCAGGTGATGAGGGATCGGGAAGGGAGGACGTTCAATGTGAATGGAAGCAAAGGGAGGAAGTTTTTGTTGCAGTGGATTTGGAGTCCTGTTTTGAAGGCCTGTGCTGGGCCTAATGCTTTGGACTAGATTAAATTTGAAAGAAAAAAAAAGATAGAAATTTGTATTATTTTGTTATAGATAGTTGGAGGTTGAGAGAATCTGGGTGGCGGTGGTGCTGGTGGTGGTTGGCGGTGGTGCTGGTGGTGGCAGTGGTGGGGGTGCTGGAGGATAAAGTAAGCTCTGCTTGAGCTTATAGTAATTTTCTTGATTTTTTTGTTTTGTATTTTGGTGGGTTAGTTTAGTTAGGTTATTTCGAATTTTTATACCATATGTTCATATATGTTTATATCTATTTTTCTCCCATTTGAATGAAATTTGCATTGGCAATTTTGTTCACTCTTAATTTTTGTAAGGGTTCATGTCACTAATTTTATTTTTATTTAATTCAACATATATTTAAACCGATTCAAAATATGAATGAGAGATACAAACTTGAATGTAAAAGTGAAATTCACTATTCTAATTTCTAACCAATTTAACAATAAATTCATGCATGCACTCTTAATTTATGGCATAAAGAAGCAAAACATCAGAGAGTAAGTGATATGATTCAAACATGCATGTAATGTATATCGTTATCAATTTACGTATTATAAAATCGTTGATACATGTTGGAAAATTAGGTTTTTTTAAAATGGATAAAAATGAATGATGATGTCATTATCAACACTAACAACTTGGACAAAGAATCAGGTCTCATAAAATGTAGAGGTTAGTACTTAGTAGTAGATTTTTTTAAAGCTTGTCAAAGTGAATGAAGTATAGCATTTAATTAAGCATTTTACTTAGTTTTTGATACACAGAGGTACACAGAGAGACAAAGTTGGAGAGCCCAAAATGTCTTATTTCTTGATCGTCGTAATCATCATGCTGTCAAAGGCACTACTGCTGTCACCATTTCAAGTGGGGTTCTCACGTCTTTATTTCAATACACAAGTTAAGAAAAATATAAAATTAAATAAAATTAAATAAAATTGTGATGAAATAATTTAATTTATAAAGTATTTGTTGAACATAAGCCCAAACGTGTGATTATTCTTGTTTGTCATTTGGTGGACGTAATCTTTGGATTATGCTAAGTCTCTACAAGATTATGTAAGTCAAACAATGCAAAAAGCTCTCTTTAAATATTAATCACCGTCGCCACCTACCTTACAAGTACTTTGACCATGTGATTTGATCCTCTTTTTCACCAAGAAAATGCTTTATGAAAAGAGTCATTCATGCAACTGTCTCTAGACTCGTGTTGAAAATAGATCTCTGTTAAACTTAAATTGGGCTATTTTTAACTACGTTTTTTGAAACTCTATTTTAATATGTACGCATAACTAACCATAATTTGTAGGTTAAGAGAAGTACGTCGGGTAAGAGCCAAGGAATGTTGATTCTATAACCCCGACATTGCCAAAACTTCATTTTAATTTAAATATTTTGAACTAGGAAGGAGGAAGCCATGGATTTTATTATGAGTCATTTCATGATGGGGTTGGCAAATTTATTTCTATTCAAATTGTGTAATACTTGGTAGAAACTTGGACAATAGGCCACACTCATGACTAGATTTGGCAAACAAGTCATATTTGTCGTTTTCGTGTTATATATGTTATTTTAAAGGATCATGTCGTGTAAAACTCATTATTTTAATGTGTTCTCAACAAGTAATCCGATAACGACCAAACTTGTTAACAGATTACTCCGAAACTTGTTATTTTTGTGATGTTTCATGTCTTGTTCTTGTTGTTTACATGTTATAACCGTTATTTTATCAGGTAACTTGATAAGGACGCAACTCGTTTACAAATGATTTAATAACAATTCAACTCATTAACAAATTAACTTAAAACAGTGAAATTTGTTATTTTTCGTATCTTGTTGTTGATGGATGGTGGAAAAAAATTTCAGATCTACTCATGACCCAAAGTCCCAACTTTAATGGCACGTTTGTGATCTACAGCTAATATTGGGGACCACAAAAGTGGACATTAATATTATTATTTACGAAAGAGGGCCTTGGGGCTTGCAATTTTGCAAAGTCTTTGGAGTGGCTGCTTGCATAAGAAAATAAAGGATAGGGTTACAAAAATATGACCAGGGTCGGTCCAAAAGGTCCAATTACCAAACTCTGCTGCAGATGCCGGTGACAAACAACATTTCTTTTCCTTTTTTTCCATTGGCAATAACTTTTATTTCCTAGACACGCAATGCAAGTTGAAATATAGTCACACAGATCATGATCCAAATATACTTGGGACATGATTCTCAAGGGGTACAAGTTTGAAATCTCTCAGCATAGTGATTGTATTCCGTGTATGAGGAGTGGTAGAATCAATCGTTTGTGTATGAATAAATATTAAATACGAATAGTTTAGGATTTGTCAATGAATGTATGCAAGACTGAATATTCTAATATATTTTTTTTTTCTAATCACTGCTATATATCTTGATTTGCAAAAACTTTTTATACGATGCAGTTGTGACACTATTATTCTTAGATTTCGATTGTTTTCTTGAAAGGAAGTTATTGTCATTGTCTAAAAATTATTGCTTAAGTCCTACCTAGACACCTAGATGCGTAAACCCTAAATTTTTGCCTGTTACCCAACTAGAGGCTAAAGTCTTTTAGAACCTTGATTATTGTTAAAGTTAACAAGTTAATTCCTTTTACCACCACATATATTAAGGTTCATTTTAATTAAAAAAACACATAGAATCATAGATGGTGCTCCATTTATGGACCTTGGTAATTTAAATGAGCTAACGTGCTAAGATTATAATATGAGAGAGAGAGAGAGAGAGAGAGAGAGAGAGAGAGAGAGAGAGATAGTTTGAAAGCTTTCTGCTACACAGAAGAATTTGTACAATATAAACATACTACAGTTTTATTCCTTTTTTTGGCTCATATATCAAATCAAATAATGTCTCACGTTTTTAAAATTAGAAACTAGGTGTGTTCGATGCACGTACATACAAGAAAAATTACTCTCAACGATATCCAATTTTTTTAGTTCCTAATACTCAAATTTGTTCATATTTTACCATCCCTTGATTCCAATTTTTGTCGCAGCAAATAGTTCGATGTTGTGCATGTGAGCGACCTCAATTATCGATTATGTAATGATGTTTGATATATCACTGTTTCGTCGATGATATTTGTGAAATATCTAAAGCTCGCACCCCACTCATATGACCCACACGCCATGCCCCAAAGCAAAAGATGGTGGATCTTATATTTTCTGTTGTCTGCTGGCATAATCAAGGAAATTCACATTAAAACATCCTTAACACAACTTCTCCATGGGACCCCGTCTTTACTTCGCTCAATTTTAGATGACCTTTCAAACACTAAACCGTCAAGTGATCACATGATAAAAAAAAAAAAAAAAAATAGAGACGCTATTTTTATGAGCGTTGCATGCAAGTTATTTTTCAAAGAAAGTATACTTAAGTTTGATAAACTTTTTTAAATTTAATATGGTTCACTACCAACATCATCAATATTGTACTCAACTTAACAAATTCAGAAAGACGTTGAATGTTTTATTTACGTGGTGCAATACTATAAGAAATGCATGAAAAATTATTGCCACCTCCAGTATTAGTACTGCCCTAAAATCTCGAATCACCACGAGATCTAGCAATGCATCACACATGTCCTCCCTTCAAGGTAATATATGTAAGAGTATGATTCTCTCTTTTCTTATTCTTATATGATTCTCTATTCTCTTCCATTTCATCCTTTCACAAATTGCTTTTTGTTTTTTTTTTGTTTTAATAAATTAACATAAAACATTGACATAACTTAATCGCACACCATTCAAATAAGAAGAGAGAAAGACTAAAAAGAGAGATAATTCTATTCCAAAGCAGTTAGCTATTTATAGCGTCCAGCTCCAACGACCGGTGCGGCTGCCCTAATCCGTGCCCTGGTGGCGCCCCTTGCAAGTAAGTAACTGCTTAAGAAATCGCATATGTTGTCAGACTTTCAAATATCATATTGGATATGTTTTCTAACGAGATTACAAAATATATGTAAGAGATCATATAAATTCATTTTTTCGAATATTATATTTGGTTATGTTATTCAAATATTATATTTGGTTACGTTATCAAATTCTAAGTCAATAAAGTATGTTTAATGTTTATTTTTTAGGAATTTTAACGAAAAGATTTCGGTACGGTTTATTTTAATGAAAAATCACATTTTTACACTAAAAAAATCAATCATAATACTATTCAATTTACCTTTTATTTTGTCTTTATCGTTAAAATTTAAAATTCTCAGGTCATTTTCATTAATTTTCCTTTATTTTTCCCCTCTTTCTTCCTCCCTCTTCACAATTACAATTATTAATATTATCTATATTATTGATATTGGTAATAATTCGAATTTACACGAGGCCCTCACATAATCAAAGAAACCCCATCAAATTAATGGGGTAGAATCTAATTTGGAAGATTATAATATCAAACATCAAAGGTGAAAATTGGTTTTCAATCAAGAAAAAAAAGTTTTTGAAGTGCATGATCCTGTCTCTGATCAATAGATTAGAGAATCGAGAAACAAAAATAAACAAATAATTTAGAGTGCGAAAATCATTTTCCTTTCAAAATAATACTTGGCTTCTACAAATAGCTGTAAGAGGTGTCACTGGAATTTATCCAACTCATCACATGTTCAATTTAACCCCAAATCGAATGGTAGTCAGAACAATTAAGCACAAGAATTAATGTTACAAGGATCAAAGAGTAAAATCTTATGAGGTACAAGTTACAACCAGCAGAGCAGATGCTGTGGGATCTCTTGCTTATATTCTTCCTCTGTACGACCAAACAAGTGTTTATGCTAACAAGGCATGAACCTGTGCTAAACCAGCCATAAATTGTAACCCGAAACACGGTAAGCCATTAAGTATCAGACTGATCTTGTATGATCAGATGAGATCAGCAACGATTTCTGCAAATGATTGTAGAGTTACTAAACCATAAACTCATCATTTGGGGCTCTAAGCGATCACGAGCTAAGATGTGTTGAAGTGAAAGCCCCTGGGATTATATATTGAACGTAAATCTATGCATGAGCCTATGCAAACAGGGTTAAAAGCGGTAGATAGCCTGGTTCCTGTAGGCCGAGGTCAACGGTGAAATCGTTCCTATGAGTTACGTACTGAACCCTGAACAAGTTGGATCTCTCCAGCTTGGGTGCTCCTACTCTAGTTCCAATATGGTATCAGAGTCGGCTTCCAGGTTCCGATCATAGTACTGACTGATATTTTACTACATTTGGTCTGTTGGTTACATAAAACATGGTCCTAGAACAAAGATCGGCCAATATCAGGTTAAATCCGTTGTACCGATCCGCCTCCTCCACAACTTCCTCGGTGAACTCCAGGGACTCTTTTTACTCCACAACTTCCTCGGTGAACTCCATGGGACTCTTTTCATCTTGTCTCTAAAAGTTCTCTTCTTCTTATTTTCATCTTGTCTCTAATAAAAGGGATTAGTCTTAGAGAAAATTAAAGTTCAGAATTTAGATTGGAAATCACCATGCTTAGCAATAGACCAAGAAATATTGAATGATTGTTGAATTCACCAGAGAAAATTAGATAGAGAATTAAGATAAAAATAAGAAGAAGAGAACATACCAACGAAAAAGAAATCAACGAAATTTGCTTTTCGAATTATCTGAAGAATTGGCTCGCAATTGAATCGCATGTCAGAGTTAAAGCTCGCGGTAGTACATCGCAGTAAAATCATTCAGCCTACTCAAACAATAACATGAAAAAGAACGTAAAATTTAATTAATCATGTAAACAGAAACTGGTAGTGAGAGTAACTTTCTTCTTCTTATAGCAGCAGTGTACCAGCTCCATAACTTCATATAAGTTAATTAAGTTTTCACCTACACCTTAAATCTTGAACCTTTTTCAGTTGGGTAGTATTCATTTCCACAATCACATAAAAATGTACAAAGTAAAAATGAATGTAGATATGTGTGGATCACTCAGAGATTCTTTATGCACGATGTTTCGAGAAAACCTTAGTTAAATTACTTTTATTCAACTTTGATCGATTTATTAATATTGTTGATTATTTAGGGCATAGAATCATCCCTTATAGTTTGGTTTTTGGTTTGCCGAAAGTACGATACTTAAATCCGAAAACGAATCAATTTTTAACCAATCCGAGACAAGAATCCTAAAGTTTAAGCTCTAAATGGCGTCCGTTCTTTACATCCTGCCCGGTAACTAGTGTATCACAAGCTATTTGGACCACCTATACTTCAATGTTCCACCTAATTTCATATGTATTATCTCCCAACCTACACACGGGAATTCAGCTTGCAATCCAATACACTAAAGCACCCATCAATATATGCAAACAAAACTTCTTGCCAACAGTTGACAGAGTGGAAGATGCAAAACATATGAGAATTTAATACAACAATCACCTCCAAGAATCGAACCGGAAGGTCTCCTCAGCTCTTAGCGTGAGCAAGCTTTTGAACTTCTCTTGCATTTGTGATAAAAGCCACCTTGCCATCTCTGGTGCAAGACGGCCACGTCCCACCTGCTAACCCATATCTTTCTCCTACGATCTCTCCACCTTCCCACCATTCCAAAGAAACCCACTTGTAGCTTTAACTTATTCTCCCCATTGGATTAGATCAATCATCAAATTCCAAACGGAAAACAGAAATTAAGAACAACCCAGAATTGCCGAACTCACCTGCTATACACATTTGCTTGCCCTTTTATTCGATTTTTTCCCCTCAATTTTTACTTCGTCTTTGCAGAATTCTTGGTTCCTCATCGCTTACAACCTACATCCTACAGTGATTCTGCATTGAAGGCGGTCCATCGTGATCTCTCTCACCTTCACTCTCCTCGTCGTGAGTTGGGCCCACTGAAACGTGGGTCTCAGGAAATAGCTGCCCTCTTGACGGTTAGCTTTGCACTTTTTCAGGATTTTGCGTGGGATTGGCGGTAACGGTAAGGTTTCTAAAAGAGGAAACTTTTTGATCAGCGGAGGATTTTGTGTCACAACATCACATGAAGTGAACTTTTAATGTCTGTCTGATTCATGTTCTGTACCCAAAGAAGCAATGCTTCATTTTACAATGATCACACGAAATTCACATGCATTTTAGATCCTCTATTTATCTTTTTGGTACATATGTACTTGTACTTTTATTAGAGAAAATTGTGTACACGAGATAGATTAATTAGTTGAGATGTAGAGTAGTGTTACTCAAGACCACAACTGCAAGGGAGAATAAATTTCGAGAAAAGAAGCGAATCACGTGTAGCACAAGATTCTGCTAACCTTAATTCGATATATACCGGTCTTTCTATATATCAATGATCAGTTAACTTTTCAAATTACTAAGATCTTTATTTAAAAATGAAGTGACCATGAGATACAAATCTTCATGACCTAACATCGTTTAGAACATTGTTTCCATATATACCTTAAATTCTACGAATTTATTCATTTTATATTATTATTACTTCTCACTTCCGGCCCCTCCTCTCTCACTTGTCATTTTTTTCTCTCTATAAACAATTCAGTACAGACATTGATTTAACCGTGATTGATCAAATAGAATAAGAGAAAATAATCCTACTCCAACAAAATTAACTTTTAGGATATAACTCCAACACTCATCGGCTCCTTTTTGACATCCCGCACCACGTGGAGATACGCCACGCTAATTCCCCCTCCGTCCCAAAAGTCATAATTTTCACATACATATAAAGTAGAAATAACATAAATAATAATAAAAAAACATTTAATTTAATTTTTAAAAAAAAATTTAAAAAATAACACCCTGTTTGTTGTCTGGCTGGAGAGAGAGGAGAGGAGAGAGAGGGCACAAAAAATGGGTAAGGTAGTGGAAAGGAAGAAGAAGAAGAAAGGACGGCCCTCTCTTTTGGATCTTCAAAAACGGACTCTCAGAGAGCAGCAGGAGCAATTACAACACCAGCACCAGAAGCGAAAGCCCAATTCTGCCCCTCATTCCAACCCTAATTACAGGACCGCCCCTACAGAATCCTCCCACGCTTCCCTCCGGCGATCCACCCGCCGCAACCCTAACCCCGACGGCAATTCCAACGACGAGGACGAGGACGAGGATGAAGACGACGACGTTTCGGCCGGGAATCGCCGCGAGAAAAAACTCAAGCTCGTCCTCAAATTGCCCTTCAGCAATCAGAAACAGTCGGCCAATTCCGCGTCTCGGAACTCCCCCAGCGTTGGCTCCGAGTCCAACGCCGACGACGATGGCAAAGACAGAACCGACCGGAAGCGCAAGATCAATGCGATCGGCTATGGATCTGGACTCGCTCACCCTCAAAAGGTATTTCAATTTTGGGGCTTTGGGCGAAATGCCCGGATTTTCAATTGTTTTTTTTTTTTACGCGGGTTCCCAAAAAAAACCCTCCTTTATTTTTTTCAAGTCTTTTTCTGTGGGTCTGGAAAACTATACGTTGACATTATTATTTCAAAATTCCTTGAATTTCGCACCTTTGAACTATGTTTTTGTCAGTTTTTTTTCTTTTCTAACAATCTTTAGTAAATAGGGTTGCCCCGGTCGGTCTTTATTATTTTTCTGCAGATCTGCATAAATTTCCCAAAAAGTATTTAACTTTGATCATAATTGTCAGTGTTTTCCTAGATTTTGTTGCTTAAATTCATGTTTATTTACTAACCCTTAATAATGATTAGACTGTCATATCGATCTGCCAAAAGTTTAAATTTGCCTTTTGTGCTTTTTTCCAATTTTATAATTTTTATTTCACAGTTTTTGCAACTGCATTATTTGCCCTTAGGGGATCCTTTGAATGCCTGGCTACTTTGCCTTTTCACACCCACAGTGGAAAAATATAAATTTGCTGTTTTTGGGTTACTGAATTTAATATTTTTTTACTTTTGCAGGGTGAGAAGTCAATTCCTGCTGCAAACCCACCAAGCAGCCTACGAGGTTTGATTTTTACTAAATTTCGTGGAAACAAATTTGATATATTTTTTTGGATTTGGATTTGGAAGCTGTGTATTTGACAGCATTGAGGTTATAATCATGGGCAGGAGGGTTAACAACGTTGGACTCTGGACCCTCTACCCCTTTGCCTGATAAAAATTTGCTGCTGTTCGTTCTCGACAGGCTCCAAAAGTGTGTTTTTTGGGTTTTCTGGATTTGTGTTTTGCTTGCTTTGCTGCAGTAGCTTCGACTCTTCTGGAACATCACAGTTTGATGATGTTTGATTGTTTTTTTTTTTTTTCTTCAGGAAGGACACGTACGGTGTGTTTTCTGAACCAGTGGACCCCAAAGAGGTTGGGTTATATAAATGGTGACGCATTAACTTCCAGGATTTGTGTAAAGATTTCTTTTTTTTATACTAACCTCTTTTTTTTCTATGTTATGCAGCTTCCGGACTACCATGAAGTAATCGAGCACCCTATGGATTTCGGGACGGTGAAGAAGAAACTTACGAGTGGAGTCTACTCCAGTTTGGAACGGTTTGAGGTCAGTTTACACTGATTTCATTGTCTTTTTGTCCTCCTTGTTCCGTTTGAGGTCTGTCGGCTGAAAATTCGCCCTGCGTGTCCTATGGTGAATATTCATAAAAGGTTACCATGTTTGAGTATATAATCAAATTTTCAACACCATGAAATTCGGGCCAACAACATGTTGCTTTGGTAGTTATTGACTGTATTATTCCCTCCCTTTTTAGTTTAAGCAATAAAAGTTTACCATTTTGAGTGCGATGGTTTGCTTGATGTTGACCTTGTATGTTTCAAAGATATGTTTTCCTTCAAAACCATTTTGTTTAATAACTTTTTGGCTGTGTTTTGGTACAGACTGTTGAATTTTACTATTTAGTATCTTCATGGAGTACTACGTGACAAATTTTGTCTTTGACTGCTGAAAATTAGCAATAGAATTTGGATTGTGCCATTGGCGAAGGGATGATTATCTAAAATTTTCATTTTTGCTAGAACTTTGGCCTATCAGAATTAAAATTTAATTTTATGAACTTGCAGGATGATATTTTCTTAATCTGCTCCAATGCGATGCAGTACAATGCCCCAGATACCATATATTTTCGACAGGTACAGTTTGATCCAGCTCCTTTCTTACTTTGTTTGAGGTTATTTGTTTGTTGACTGAACTTCAATGACTTCTTTCCAGGCACGCTCAATACATGAGCTTGCGAAAAAGAATTTTGAAAATTTGAGGCAAGATAGTGATGATAATGAACCAGGACCAAAGGTCGTAAGAAGAGGTAGACCACCAACAAAAAATTTGCACAAGAAATTGGGCAGGCCTTCCTTGGACCGTGCTGGTTCAGAGGTCTCAGATGCCGCTCTTGCTACTGGGGCTGAAAGCACCACATTGGATCTTAGAAAAGGATCTCTTCTTTCAGACAAGTCTGGTTTGGTGGGTTCGCGGAATAATGATGTTTATATTAATTGGTTGACAGATAACAAATTTGAGAGGAATGATGATGTCACAGGTTTGATTTGGTTGTATGTGCACCAATTGTGGTGTTACTTGTCCATTTAATAGGCTTGGTGGATCTTTGATTAATATTGATTTTAAATCTGCAATTTTTTTCAGGTTCCACAAGGGGTAATTCGAAGCTTGGGAAAAAACAATTTGTGTTTGATGAGAACAGGCGTAATACATATAATCAAACTCATCCTTCAGCCAGTGGACGAGAGTCATCTGTATTGACTACATTTGATGGAGAAAGGAAACAGCTGATGGCTGTATGTATATAACTTTGTTCAATTATACTTATGTTCGTGCCTGAATTTTGCCCCAAATTTGTATAAGGACGGCGTATATTGGTGTCTTAGATATATTTAGAGGTTACTTGTTTGCTAGTGGATGGTCATGACCCGTCTTGGATGTTATTAATTGGACGAACCATAATAAAGGAAAAAGGATATTAAACTTATGATTAAATGATGCAGTAGGTTTGGACATGCTGCTTTCTGCCTTTTGGTGGATGAATTTGTATGTGCTATCTTTTGCGTGGAGTTTAATTTATGTGGTCTGCTGACTTGTCTTTTATGTGAATCAGGTAGGGCTTCACTCAGACTATGGTTATGCAAGGAGCCTGGCTCGATTTGCTGCAAATCTTGGAGCTCCAGCTTGGACCATTGCCGCAAAGAAGATCGAAAGGCCTTTGCTCCCTGGTGTTAAGTTCGGCCCAGGGTGGGTTGGAGAAAATGATGTTGCGTCACATAGGCCACTGCTATTAGCCTCAGCCTCACTATGTCAGCCATCTTCATCAGAGCCCTTTCCCATTCGTCCAAATGCATCTTCTGCTGCAGCATATTGCTCTGTTGAGTCTAACGGAGATAAATTGTCAGAGAAGTTGTCGGGACATCACTCATCAGAGAAGCCATCGGGGTATAACTCATCAGAGAAGCATGTGCCTTCTATTCCTTTAGCACTGGATAGCAATACAAGCAGCTCGCTTCCTCTGTCTGCTGCTACCTTATCACCCCCCATTGTTGCTAATAAATCTCCTGAACCCCTCCCTGGAAAAGTAGAAACTGCTGAAGGATCAAACACTTGTACTGGGTTTAATATGCCGAGCAGCAATCTTGGAGTAATGAGGCCGAGGCCTCCATTTCAGATCCATCAGAATTCCATATTCCAACCTGGGATCAACGGATTTAATGGCACAAACGGATTAAACATTCCTGCTCATATGAGAAAGCTAGTTGGAGCGGCCGGGCCCGGTGGTTTTAATTTCCAGTTGTCTCAAATGCTTGATGCGGTCTCTAGGACTAATGTTAACTTCCATCCAGCTACTTCAAACAGCTTAACTTCGGAAGAAACTAAACTCTCTGAAACTTCAGGTACGATAAACTCTTCCCCTTCATTACTAAATCCAGTGAATGAGGCAATGGCAGCACGGACAAGGGGGACTCATCCCCAGCCATCTTGGCAAGGGTTGTCACAACAACGGAAACCCGATTCAGGGTTGTCACCCCAATAAAAATCCGATTCAGTTCCACCAGAGCTGAACCTCAGGTTTCAGTCCCCAGGGCCCCTAGTTCTAGCCAGCCTGATTCAGCGCAGCCGGATTTAACATTGCAGCTCTGATAATAATCCATTTCCCCCCCTTCCCATTTCCCATTCTCCTTCAATTAAGTTAACCAATAGAATGGTGGATGATTCAGTTGCTCCTTCTAATGACGAGACCGTAGCCGGTCTCTCAACATCGAGCGCATCCCCACTCGACCGTAATGTAAAGGGGTAGATTGTTCTTGTACAGATTAATTAATGTATCCTACCTAATGCTAATTGTTAGGGCCACAAGTAAAAGAAAAGGGCTTCATTTGTGAGGTTAGAAAGAAACCATGATTTAGGTTTAGGATGTTTGTCTGAAGATGTAGGATAATCTGTTTTTAACATTAATCTGAGAATCCTTGTTTAGTCCAAGGATTGTAATCTCTGTATATGGTTTCTGATGGTGTAATGTTATTTCACACATTTGAAATATTTGTTATTAGTCTGAAGAAATAAAAGTTTGCTTGAGATTGAATCAGGTGCATTTCTTTTGCCGTTAAGAGTCTTCCTCCTCAATTCACTGATTATCGGGTTTATACCCTCTTCCTTTTCTCTTATGACGCGTTTACTAATCCGTAATCAAATTGAGAGGAATTAGATTGAGGGGGAATTGGATTGAGGAGGAATTGAAATGAGGTGGAATCAGAATTTGATTCTTGTTCAAGTTGTTTACTAAAACTGTCAAGAATCGGAGTAGGAATGATGTTGAGTCCATATAAGTTGTTTACTAATTCATTTCAATCGGAATGAAAACTAGGATGATTACTATATTGCCCTTACATAAATAAATTATGTTCATACTAATTAATTAAATTAAATTCTTAATTAAATTTATATAATAAAATTCATCTATATAAGCATGTATAAATAGGTTTTATTTATTTATTAAAAGATGGCAAGAATGATGTTGAGTCCATATAAGTTGTTTACTAATTCACTTCAATCGGAATGAAAACTAATTTGATGACTAAATTGCCCTTACATAAATAAATTATTTTCATACTAATTAATTAAATTTATATAATAAAATTATCTATATAAAAATATATAAATAGGTTTTATTTATATATTAAAATGACATAATGAGTGTCAAATGAAGGGCAATGTTCGGATAATAAGAAACAAGTGAGGGCATAATTGGAATAAAAGATGCATTCCTGATTCCCTTGTCCTCAGGGAATTCAAATACCTCACAAAACTAGGGAATCCGGTTCCTCCAATTTCAGGAATTGGATTCCTTATTTCGTGTGGGTTCCATCACTTTTTTGATTCCTTAATATTTAGTAAACATCGGAATACTCCGTAATCAGAATTCAATTCTCTTTCTTTATTCCGATTACCCTTACGAAAACATGCCATTAGTGTGGATTACTTAAAAACATTTTCTGCATGCTGGAGATTATTCAATAATGTGTTCATACGGCGTCGGATTTGCAAGACATGACTGGTTTATTATTTCTACATTGATGTCCTATTAAAAGGGATAACCGACACGACTTCTGACTTTTGAAAAACTAATGCAAGCAACTTTATGCAGTGCCCAAAATTTCAACGTTTCATGTCAAATTGCACGTCATTTTGCGGTGTGGGTTATACTTAAAATATTTTTTCAGTGTTTTCGAAACACAGGCCGGTATATTACGTGTAATTATACAAATGGAGGAGATTTCTTTTTGTTTTTTTTCACTTGTCCATTCATTTGTATTATGACATGTGAGATGTACCGGTTAATGTTCTGAGCACATTGAAAAAAATTTCATACTTAAATCAGTATTACTCTCGCAAAAAAACTCCTAATAGTACGTGGTTGTGCTAAACATTTCGTCCAAACACCATTGAATTTCGGTCAATGTTCGCCCCATTTGTAATTGTGAAAATGCCAGCAGTCGAGTAAATTGAACCCTAATTCAAGCTTGAAAAGACTCTTTGGACCCTGCAGGCAATGCGCAGATTGGTTGACTAGGAACCTAACAACAAAGTATTATTAGGTGTTTTTCATTACATTAAGAGTAACATAGACATATAAGGATGGTCATTGCAAGCAAATACTCGAGAAGGAGAAATCGAATTTGAGACGTTAAATATAATAATAAATACTCTTAACTCACAACCCTGATGCATTAATGTAAAAGGAAAAATAGATTGTTTGATCGTGACTCGTAGCCTTGTGAAATTGTCTTGTTATTCAAAAGTCGTTCACAGGTTTGACTTTGGAAGCAATGGCAGTTTGACTTTTGTAAAAGCAATGGATGAACCATGTGAGAGAGTTAGAGAGAGAGAGAGAGAGAGAGAGAGAGAGAGGGGTACTGCTGTCTTTGTGCTCTCTTGTTCTAGGCAGGGACTTGGTCAACAATACAATAGCATGGTGTTCAATAACTACATTAATAACATTTTCCTCTCAATTCCTCAATCCAAGCATACAAATAATGGTGTTATTCTTAGAAATGGATGACAAGCAGCTGTCAACTTGGAGGCTATGTCGAATCCCTTACCTCTGCGCGTGAACGATTGCGAGTTGTTAATGTGGTGTGACTTCTCAAATGTATTACTACCACATAATTTTCAAACGCGTAGAAAGCTTAACTTATGATTTATACTGGTATAATTTCGACTGTTTTACATGATACTAAAGCCTAGCTCGAATAGAGTGGAATAGTATATTTCAATTTAACAAATTCTGAAAAGTTTAGGAATTTTCACATATAAGTTATTAACGACTTTACGGTTTAGAGAAAAACACTTCAATGTGGCTTTAGAAAAACACTTCAACTTTATGGTCTAGAGAAAAACACTTCAACTTCACTTTAGAAAAACACTTCCAACTTCACTTTAGAAAAACACCTTCTGGCTTCTCAATGAAGGAGGACACTAAGAGAATTTCATACACCAAAAATAAATTATAGCATGACATACGGCAATTCTTTAAAAGTTTTTTTATTTTGTTTTTTCCCAACGATATTATATACTAATTTGTATAAAGAAAAGATGAAGGAGTTTGAAACCATGACATAGTAGGTTAAAGAGGAATCTCCAAGGCAGTCATCTACTTGTGATTCTTTAAAAGTTTTTGTATAAAACTTAAACTTGTTTACACATTTTAATACCAAAGTTTAAGAAAGAATAATGGACGCAAAATTAGAAATATTTTTGCTCATCATCTTTTTTATTATTGTTGGATGAGCTTAAATTTTGAGATCTACGTAGTGAGTAGACACAAATCTCAAGATTTAAACTCATCTAATACTAATAAGTAGAGTGATAAATGTTACCAGCACTTGAAGATGGGGAGCAAAAATGCACCCCTCCAAATTAGGAATTTGTTTATTAATCGGCTGGGAAGTTGGTAGGTGGTTCATTCATTACTTTTGGGGTTCACTCTTTAGAGCAGCTACAGTGTGTGCTGGAGCCCAAGGGACAGGCGAGTGAACAAGGCCAGAGAGCCCGAGCAATCAAGTCCAGTGTTTGCTGGCCAGAGAGCCCGAGCAGGCCCGAGCGAGAGGCCAGTGGATAGTTGCCAGCTCGAGAGCCCGGAGTGGGTTTGACGCAAGGCTGACGTCGCCCTGATGTCAGCCACGTTTTTCTTCTATTTTGCCTTGGCATCCGTTGGATCTCAACCCACAAACTTGCCGGAGTTCACTCCGAGGACGAACCAAAAACTGGGCAAGGTTTCAGAGAAATTGCAGGGGGTTAAACCTCTGGTTTCGAACTGGAAAAACACCACAAATCTTGTCCCAAGCAACATTAAGACATAATGAAACAAGATTTGCATAGAGAACCTCACCTGGGTTTGAGTTTCAGATCTTGAAGCTCTCGGCTTTAATGGTGGCTTACACCATGATGGTCCGATGACGCATGCAACGGTATAGCAAGGATCCTTTAGTCCTAGAGATTAAGGTTTCATGGTTTTGGAGTTTGATTTGTTTAATTTTCGAAGAGGAAAGTGGGTGAGAGCTCTTGGAGATCTAGAGAGAGCGAAAGTGTAGAGAGAGAGAGAGAGAGAGAGAGAGGAACTTCAGAGAAAAATGGGAGAGAGAGAGTGAGGTGCACGGGAAAGAGAGGAGTGACGTGAGGGAGTGCAAAAAATATTATTATTTTATTTACCTGTTGCCAGGGCTATTTAAGTGTAGGGGTGGAGATACCAAAGGCAATTACGATTTATTAAGGGTAATTACTGTTCACTAGGTGGATTAAATAGTGGATTGCCTGGAGGGAGGGCTCCAATGGTGGAGTTGCTCTTAGTGGTTTGAAACTTCTAAGCCTAGGTGTCTAAAAGAGAAATAATAAAGAGATTATCTTGAGGTGAAATTCTTTAAGGACTCATTTGTCAACTTACAATTTAACGTTAATTTTCATGCTAACATTATAAATATTGTGTAAAAAATATGAGGTGATAGAGAATTCATAAAAAATCTCACTTTCAAAGAGTTTCTTTAATATTTCTCGGGACAAAAATCTGATTAGTTGTTTCTTTCCAAGAAAATTTGTCAAAGTTTAATGGCTAACAAGATTTGGCTTCTTTGAATCAACTTAAATATTGAGTGACCAGTCAAATACTCCAATAGCTAGTCTATGGACCCAAATCTTATCACTTTTGGTTACCTGGAATTGTTGTGTTCAATGAAGCAACACAAACTATAATTTTCAGTACCAAATTACCAATACCAATACTAGGTTAAAATTAGACAAATACTATACACTTTCTTATACCATTTGTCACCTCACAAATGCATTGTCAACTTGGTTGCAATGTGTCGCATATATATTCTCTATTTCCGTTGACTTTTTTCGTTGGAAAACTTGAGGTGTTCTGTTGATGATCCCTTTGAAGGGTATTTTGACATTGAAAAATCGATACACTTTTTAAACGACCTTGTAAACATATGCAACTCTCTAAACATAACGATAAATGCAGCTCTTTTGGAACTGTTTTTATAAAAAGAATACATGTATACGTTAGAAGTGTATTTTTACTACAACTCCAAGTATTTCAAGATTATTTATCTTCTTTATTCTCAAAGTCACTCTCATCTCCTATTGCAGAACAAACTTTAACCAACAAAATACAAATATGTTGATTGAAAAAAGAAATTTGACAAATAGAACATGAAATCGACATTTTGAAAGCTTCACATGAGGTAAGACTTCATATTTTTGTCATTGTTTTAGTGATTTCAACAACATTGATATCTTAATAAATAGTTGTGATTTATTTGCTTGATATATTTCAATGACATTGACATGCCTGCATTATGAATGAGATATATCGTGAAAAAAGTACGGTTAATGATGCGTAAACATATCTGATTGGCTTCCCTTTTTGTTTAGGAGTATCCTAATCCTTTTGTTTTTCCTCCCCACTTCTCTTTCCATCTTGGATTGGTAAAGGTAGCACACCCAAAATGTGTGTTACACTGATCCTCAAGAAACTGGCATAAACCCTAAAATGTCATGGTTGATGAATTTTCATTGTAGTTCAGTTTTATATATGCTGAGCTGTTTAAATGGGAGGTGTACATTAAGAGTGAGCGTGATGATATTATGGGAAGATATGTAGGGTGTATTAAGATAAATTTTAATTAAAAAAACATATATGATGTGTATGAAGTATGTGAAATGTATTCAACAATATGCGATCGAGGTGCTTCTCTAAAAAGAAACACTTTTACAACCCAAATTTTATATAATTTTTCTGTCAAACGTATCATAGTTCTTGAAAAAAACACTTACACTATGTTTGGATAAGAGAAATAAACTTGAAATTTTGGCAAAAGTAAGAATTTATAAATTGATGACATGTGTCAATTCTCTTGTTTGGATTCCTAAACATGAAAATTTAGAATTTCTGCGTGGAAAAAACTTAAAATTTAGGACTCCATTCTTAAGTTTAAATTCTATGTAAACATGTGTTATTTCTAAATTTTTGTGAGTGAGAGTTCAAAAATAACAAATTTTGTATTCAAATTCCATAGTTAAATTAACCAAACAAGAAAACTTACAAATTCTAAAAAATAAAATTCCGTCATTCTAATTTCTATTATTTTAAAATTCTTTAATAATCTATAATTTTCTGGTCTAATCAGACAGAAAGAGATCATCTTAGGATCTCTTCCACCAAGGCCACCAAATCAAGTGATCCGGGTCTTTGAAATCTCATTGAACGCAAAAAATTATTATAGTTTTTAAGAGATCAAAATAGGTGGGCCGTTGAATGAAATTTCAAATGCTCAGATCACTTGATCCGGTGACCTTTGTCGAAGAGATCCGGAGAGGATTTCTTTCCCATTCAGGCCATTCCAAAACCAATTCTTAACAAACAGGAAGTCAACGTCAAGGAGCACAGTGATAACAAAATTTTAATTTAATTGGGGTGACGAATTTCTTTTGTAGGTACTGGGTAGAACAGAATGGTCTCTTTTGTTTAGGACAACGTACTATCTACGAGATAATAAAGATTTAAAAAGATAAAAATAAATGAAGTACAAACGAAGTTAACTAAAAAAATTATTATTTCACAATATAACAATTTCAAGAATTTATAATCAAAACTCTATTGGGCCATAGTTGAGCACAATTACTCATATTTCTCTGCCATCTAACAATAATAGCGTTAAATTATTAATTTATTTGTCTCTCTGGTTTCTTCATTTGAATGGAAATTCTGTGTCTGACCGAGCTGAGTCACATTGCCCACGGTAGTTGACTTGGAACAAGAGTCTGGCAATTCTGCATTACCCCACCAAGCTCTTCACCTTGTTTCTTCTTAAAGACTTGGTCTTTATTCGTTTGCTTCCATTTTTACTGTTTTTATGCTAAATTGGCTCGCAAAAACCACAGGCATAACAAAGTCAGAGCCCTTTTGTTCATCATTTTCTGGAATACTGGAGAGAGAGAGAGAGAGAGAGAGAGAGAGAGAGAGAGAGAGAGAGAGAGAGATAGAGGAGAGGGGGGAGAGAGCACCCTTTTAGTGGTTGAAGCTTGGAGGAGGTAGAATCCAAGAGGAAGAGGAAAAGGAAGAAGAAGATGGGGATTTGTTGGGGTTCTCCAGTTAGAAACCCGACACCAGCAACTACGGGTGATCTCAGTACAGGTAAAGCCCACAATTAAATTTGGATTTTTGTTGATTTCATTAATTTTTCAACTTTTGATTTGGGTTTTTGATGTTACTAGTTTTTGAGAAATGCCCATCATTAATTGAGCTGCAAATTATGTTTCTGAACTGTTTCATTGACCAGTAAATGGCAAGGAGACTCTCAAAATGGGATTCTTCGTGAATTCTTTCTCACCTCACAATTTGACGTTAATTTCTGCGTTAATATTATTATAAAACATTGTGCTAAAAACATGAAACGTTGAAGAGTCCCGCTTTTAAGAGAGTCTCCTTGGTATTTCTCATTATTAAATCATGAATATTGTGGCTATTGGATTTCTAGGAACGTTGACGCTCTTGTAACTTGCTGCATGTCAAATGGGAAATTTTTTTCCATGTGTTTTTCATTTTGAGTGTGATTTTCTGACTCTGTGCTGCTTCTTCAGTGATCAGCAACATATCTCAGACAACCAGTAATAACACATCTTCAGGGGCGAGTACTGTATCCCGGAATAGCCAGTTCTCCGCGGCAAGCGGTGATGAGGCCAGTGCACATGGGCAGATCTTGCCCACCCCAAACTTGAGGATCTTCAGTTACTTGGAGTTGAAGGCTGCAACCAGAAACTTCAGATCAGATACGGTGCTTGGGGAAGGAGGTTTTGGGGTGGTCTTCAAAGGCTGGCTTGATGACAAGGCGCCGACCAAGTCAGGAAAATCAACAGTCATTGCTGTGAAAAAATTGAGTTCCGAGAGCTTGCAAGGGTTTGAGGAATGGCAGGTAAATTGACTGCACTTGAGGAAATGATTATAATTGGTGATGTTTAATTGTTTGGTATTAGCACTTTAACTTGTTCAAGCGAACGAGATCATAAGAGTCGCAGTTCTGATTAGATATGTTAATAAAAAATGGAAGGTGAAATACTAATCCTTTACCAAAATTAAACTGTAAATAAATATTTTCGTTGTGTCAAACACTGGTATCCACTGTTCGTGTAGGAGGGCAGGGTTTCGATTGGTTAATGCAGCTGGTGCCCTGAGTCCACAACAATTTAAGGGAGATATAGAGTTCTGCAGATGATAAAACAATTCCATGATATACAATTTCTTCAAATTTGGTTTGGTCGGATTCTAGTTTGAATTAAAAAAGGGCTAACTCGAGCGAGTTCTTTTCCCCAAACCCCCCAACTCAAGCCATAATCTCTCTCTAGCATTCCTGGCGTGCATGGTGCACACACCTAAATCCGTACATTTTCGAGGACATCTGGCCTGTTTTATCAGTCTTCTGGAACCATAAAGTTTATAAGCAGTGCATCAAGTCAATTTAGTTAGGGCGACTATCTCATCCTATTCTTGTTCTTTGCTGGTGCAGTCAGAGGTTAATTTCTTAGGGCGACTATCTCATCCTAATCTTGTTAAGCTATTCGGATACTGTTGGGAGGATAAAGAGCTGCTGCTTGTGTACGAGTACATGCCAAAGGGTAGCTTGGAAAACCATCTATTTGGAAGTAAGGATAAATAAGTTTCCACATTACTAGTTATACTTGCAAGCATTTTCCGATGTGCAGGCAATGCTGTTTACAAATATAGCAAGTTCATTCTTCACCTTACACTTCATGTTCTCTACTTTTGCAGGGGGATCGGCTGTTCAGCCACTTCCATGGGATATACGGCTTAAAGTTGCAATAGGAGCTGCTCGAGGCCTGGAATTCTTACATACATCAGAGAAGCAAGTTATCTATAGAGATTTCAAAGCTTCAAATATACTTCTTGACGCGGTAAAATTCTATTTGACTATTGAACAGTTATCAAGAACTAAGCTAAGAAAGGCTCATATGTTTTATTTTCTTACCATATATTCAACCCTTACCTGTGCCACATATTATTATCCACCAAACTGTTGTGAATAGAATCATGTCTATTTAAAATATGCACACTGTCACAGAACCATAAAAAATAAAAACTAAAACAACGTTACTCTTAGGCTTTAGGTCAATAGATTGACTCGGGAGGTTGGATTTGGGGGTAGGTTTTAAGTGTGAATTTTAGTAAGAAAACAAATACTCATTGAAATAAAAAAAAATCAAAAGCTGTAGGTCGAAAAAAAGAAGAAAAATTTGACATATTTTTAACTTTTGGTTGTACTGCAGTCGTATACTGCCAAGATATCCGACTTTGGCTTGGCAAAAATGGGTCCTTCAGCTAGTCAGTCGCACGTGACAACACGGGTTATGGGTACATATGGTTATGCTGCTCCTGAGTATGTTGCCACTGGTAATTCTACGCAACTTATGGAATTTGCATTAATTGGTGTTAAGGTTCAACATTTTGATGTGAGTTTGGCATAAGTATTAGGCCAATTACAAAATTCAAGTTCTTGCCATGACATTCCTCATATCATGTTTAATTTAACAGGGCATCTGTATGTGAAGAGCGACGTGTATGGTTTTGGTGTTGTTTTGATCGAGATATTGACAGGCTTGAGGGCCCTTGATACAACTCGTCCAGCTGGAAAACACAATTTAGTAGACTGGATAAAACCATTTCTTTCAGACAAAAGAAAATTGAAAAGCATTATGGACCCTCACCTACAGGGAAGATATCCTTCCAAAGCCGCATTTCGAATTTCTCAGCTTGCACTAAATTGCATCGAATCTGAACACAGAAACAGGCCATCAATGAAAGATGTCGTGGAGAAATTGGAACGGATTGAATCTGTCAAAGAACTTACAAGGGAGCCTAGGCCTCGTTCTACTCATCCTATGGCTCATCGACAAGGACAGAAGCCTTTGCATCTCCGCTCTCCACTTCACCCCAGGCAAGATGGATTTCAAGGCTACCAACAGTCACCCCAGGCTCGAGTGAGGTAACTCTAGTACGACTGCTGTCAGGAAATATCGTGTCAAAAAGTTTCAATTAATTCATTTATGTATCTCCTGGGAGGTTAGATTATGTTAATTTTGTGTTAAACTGGGTACGTTACGTGAACAGTGAAACTGTAATTATTGTGTTGATCGAGCTTCAAAACTTGTTACAAGAGTCATTAGTTATAGTTTTCTGGAAGGGAAATTTGCCCTTCCATTTTGTTGTCAAAGTTCAAAGATTCAAGGACAAATATTTTATTGTCAGTTTACCTTCTGTATTTTGTAACAAAGATTCAAGGACAAATATTTTATTGTCAGTTTACCTTCTGTATTTTGTAATTTAACAATTCTGCACTCTTAAAATCAAAAGCTGAAGAAATTCTTTGAGCGTTGTTACCTCAGCAGGGAATTAATTTATGGAAAACTTCATTCTAATCATTGGCAAAGATGACTTTTAGACTAAAACCATGAGTAAGATCAAAATATAATTTTAGTCCCTTGATACATTAATAACCTCAGTTATTAATTACATTTGCATTTTTTATTTATTTCTCTTTTTCTTCCTAATTTTAATGTATTAATTTTATTTCATTACAATTATCATTTTCATTTCATTTATTGTAATATATTTTGTTGTAAACGTTTAGATAAACTAATTTTTGTTTGTCTTCTTCATTTAGGTACATTAAATTCATTATAATACATTTCGGTGCATATATTTAGGTACAAACATTTAGGTACATACATTTCTCACACACCCCGACCCTGGATGTCCACTAGGACTCCGAATCGAGCTGTGCCGGCCAACACCTGGAAGGTGACGAAGCCATAAAGTATGATGATGTGGAAAAATGTGAATAAATTTAAACCTAAAAGTGCATAAATACAAGAGTGCACCATGAGTGGAAATGAACCCATTTCATATGTGACGTCAGAGCATAAGTAAAGTACAGTAAAGTGGATTGAAAATCCTACCATCAAGGGTAATCTCCAATACCAAGACTTGCCACGAATCCTCGTCGATACAAAAGCTTTGCTACTAGACCTGGAGGGATAAAAACAAGAGTGAGTGACCAGAAAATAAAGCTTTAATAAAGGTCTTCTAAACGATGTAGTCCCTCACCGTAACACCTATTTAGCTTCTAGAATATCATAGTACGGATAAACATGAAATCAAAATAATACTAACATTAAATCCAGAAGTATACCACATCGCATCATCTCATTATCAATATAAATAATCAAGTGCCTAATAACCCATATTAGCACGCCAGTCGGAGTCACCTATGGTGACCTGTACAACTACAACCATATCTCATCAATCAATGCTAGCTCATAAGTCGGAGTCACCTATAGTAACCTGTATGACTCATCCATATCTCATCACATATGCTAGCTCATAAGTCGGAGTCACCTAAAGTGGTATGTACAACATGATTGTGCACCTACCTTGGATCCAAGGTGAACGTAAGGTGCGGGAGGTGAACATCACGTAAAGGATTGTGCCCTAGCCACGGGCGAGAGCACCAACACCGGGGTGCAGGTTTATGAACTATCAATGCATCTCAACATAACATGTACGACTCATGGGCAACCCGTACGACAGTGTTGGAGTTGCTTAAAAGATAATATAGTCATGACATCACTCGATCGTTCCGAATAAAATGTAATCATGTCATAACTCCATCATTTCAACTAATACTATAAATTCACCTGAACTTACCTGTGTGTCCTGAGTTCACCTTCGCGCTTCCAAGCATTTACAATAATTATGTGCAGGTAATATACGTATGGATAATCCATGATGCAATCTGATACTCAAACATGTTATAGCAATTTCAATTGTATACATACATATATATATATATATATATACACACACGCACACACATAATATGGTGTAAAAAAATGCATAAGTTGTAACACCCTACTCCCAAACTATTTATTTTAGGAAATAATTATCGGTGATAAGCCCAACTAGACACTAGTTTAATTAATTATTATTACTTACGTTTCCTTACTTCAAATTCTTGATTCTTCACACATTGATTTATGACCAACATTTAACCACCAAATCATAAGGTTAAATCTCATATTTTCCACCAATGTCCCTCACATTACTCAATTCCCTAGACAAGGCTATTGCCTCAATTATTGTATGACTGCATCTAATGTTTCGTTAGACTGCCTACGTACCCTAAACAGGGATCAAACCATTCGTAGTTCACAATAGTACTTCAAAGCATTCACAGTAATTATATGCAATAATCAATTTATAACTGTTGTGGAATTATCAATCATATATATATATATATACACACATACATACATACATACATACATACATACATACATACATACATATATATATATACACACACACACACACGATAGAAAGGAAATGACCCACTCACCTGAGGTCCGCGCTATGACTCCCTAGCACAAATATTGAGACATCATGAACCATCGTCGCCTAAAACAATTATCAAATCACGTCTCAGAGTTCTTACCGATAAAATACATAATTGATGTAAAACACATCCCTACGTAGTTCGATTCAAGAGATCCACATCACGGATTTCCAATCCCTTACTTCCAAAGATCCACATTATACTTCTAGAACAACATCCTAAAGTTCCATTACAATCCAACGGTCGGATCTCCATCAATTGCCAAAACCAAGTGGCGGTTAACATTTTATTTTAAGAACTTACAAATCCAATTCGGGAAGATCCGTACCACGGATTCCCGATCCGTAAGTTCCTATGGTCCTCAAATATTACTTACTATGATGTATTAAAGTTTGGTGACGATCTAACGGTCGGATTGTCGATTCACATCTTTACCAAGTAACGTATCTTAATGAATTTAGGTCCAAACGATCAACCTACGATATACAATCACCAAAACTGAATTCAAGACATCTAATTTAGCCTAAGAATAACATCGATGGTCCCCTGGCCATGCACCGCCGCACGCGCTGCCGTCCCGACTCGCCGGAAAATCCAACTATTTCCAAAAATTACCAAAATTTACAGGAATGAAGATCTCAATGAGTGGAATAACTTTCATACTTATGACTAAGCCAATTTGGCAGAGAAAAGCCTCAATTTTACCAAAACCCGTCGGAAACCCTTGAATTTGGGTGTTCTTGATTCGACTCCAAAGCAACTCCGACACTCCAACCAATGTTTGGGCTTTGTTCTAGACCTCAAGGAGAGTCTAATGGTGGCAGTAATTGGATGAAATCATTTCAGATTTGGAGGATCGAAGACACGGGTTCATCTCACCCTTGGGTATGGTTTTCATCAAATCAAAGCCAAACTCCATAAATTTTGGTTTGTAATTGGTAGAGGAAAGGTCATAGAGTGTTTCCTAAGTGTTAATTCGACATGAATCGCCGGGAAAATGAGTGGAAATTGGCCGGAATAACCCCGACCGAACAGGTTGGGTGGTCTGGGTACATGGGTCCAAAAAAAAAAAAAAAGATTGGTTCCCTCCTTTCCCTCCTTAATCTCTTTTTTTCATTGGTTGCTTGGTCCTTTTAATTTAATTGGTCCACTATTGCCACCTAGTGGGAGTTCAAAATTAAACTAACAAGTAACAAATTTCAAATGTTCGTAACTATACCGTTATAATCCGGACTCGCAAACGGTTTTCCTTTATGCGTTCGTACCAACGAGTACTACGAGGATATGCTACAAGAATAAGTCATACGTCTCTCTAACCAATGGTCAACAGAAGTCAAAGCCTTCGCCTTTAGGGTATTTTCGTAAATTCACATTTTAAAAATTTATAAATCGTAAAACTAGGGATGGGTTGTCACATTTCGATACAAACATTTAGGTACATTAATTCAATATAATATATTTCGGTACATACATTTTGGTAATAAAATTTCGGTACACACATTTAGGGACATTAATTTAATTTAATACATTTCAGATCATATATTTCAGTACATACATTTCGGTACTAACATTTAAATACATTAGTCCAATATAATACATTTCGATACATACATTTAGGTACATTAATTGAGACTTTCAAGTTTGAAAAATGTTAAATAAAATTAATAAATTTAAAAAATAAACTTTTTTTTAGGTCAAAAAATAAATTAAAATATTTAATGAGAGACATTAAATAAAATGCACATTAATTATTTTGAATTAAGGACACATCTAGGGACTATAATCAATATGTAATCTAATACTAGGTTTATTTTAAATTTTAATCTTCTTGAATGATTAAAGTTAAAAAATCCCATTAATTTATAATAGTGATGTTTACACTAATGCATTTTATAATAGTTGTTAGATATTAATTTGAGTTATAAATTTAAAATAAGCATAAACGTTATCAGTATTTTAGAACAGCAATCTAACAACATAACATTTGAGATATTGAACTCTCATTCATAATACGGAATGTAGAACGGGCTGAGCTGACACAATTTTGGCACAAGTACAGCCCCTTTTGAAGTCGTCCACTTACAAAACTCTAGGGCATAACAAAGTCCACGACCCCTTTTTCTTCCATTGTTTCTTGGATAGTGGAGAGAGAAGACCCTTTTAGTGGTTGAAGCTTGAAGTAGATAGAATCCAAGAGGTAGAGGAAGAGGACTAGGAAAAAGATGGGGATTTGCTAGGGTTCTGCCAAACTCCAATAACTAGTGTGAGAGCTTGCAAGGGTTTGAGGAATGACAAGTAAATTAAAATGAGCATAAACGTGATATGGTAAAATGTAATTTATCATAATTTTTTTTGAAGTGCTAATAACAGTTTTTTTGAAAAAAAAACATTTCTTATTCATAATACAGAGTGTACAATGGGCTGAGCCGGCATGAATTTAGTACGAGTACAACTTGTCTAAAGTGCGTTATGCATGAAACACAAGTGGGTCACTGTCTAAATGAATTTTCCTTCTCACTTTAGAATTTAGACTAGATATTAGTGGTTTTCGAGTATATCTGAAACATAATCATGTTGTTAAATTTTGTATTCATCCACTAGCGAACCAAGGTAGGGGCAATGGATGCAATTGACCCGAACCATCTCATTTTCCCATACTAATTATATCACTCTCGACCCTAAATATATTTTATAAAAAACAGAAAGATTCATGTTCGGTTGAAATTTTCTTCTTTGTAATTAAAGTTTGCATCAAATATTGAAGTGCACTAAGATCAAGATAGGCACCTATATGTAAAATGAGCATTCGATTAATTTACTAAGAGTCTTCTTAGTGGAAAACATAATTTAGTAGACTGAACAAAATCATTTCTTTCAAACAAAAGAAAATTGAGAAATATTACACCATCTTCAAATGAGA